CCGGAGTTAGACAAGGATGCTTACTCTCCCCCTTTCTCTTCCTTCTAGTGGTTGAATGGATTATGAAGACCTCCACATCTCAAGGGAAGCACGGAATAAAGTGGACATGTTGGATGCAACTAGACGACTTGAACTTCGCAGATGACCTGGCTCTTCTATCCCATACACATCAACAAATGCAGGTAAAGACAACTAGTGTTGCAGCGGCCTCTGAGTCAGTAGGTCTCAACATGTACAAGGGAAATAGCAAGATCCTCAAGCACGACACGAGGAACACTAACCTAATCACCCTTGGTGGAGAAGCTCTGAAGAGTTGTGGACTTTCACGTACTTGGGTAGCATCATCGATGAACAAGGAGGATCTGACACAGACATAAAAATGAGGATTGGCAAAGCAAGGACAGCATTCCTACAGTTGAAGAACATATGGACCTCAAAACAAGTGTCAACCAACATCAAGGTCAGAATCTTCAATATGAACGTCAAGACAGTCCTACTGTATGTAGCTGACACTTGGAAAACTACTACAACCATTTTTAAAGTCTACAAGTGTTTATAAACAATTGCCTACACACGGCACTCAGTGTTCGTTGACAGAATACCATCAGTAACAGCGTACTATCGAAAAGAACAAATCAACTTCCAGATGAAGAGGAAATGAGGTAAAGAAGCTGGAGGTGGATAGGATACCCATTTCGGAAATCATCAAGCTACATCACGAGGCAAGTGCTAATTTAGAATCCTGAAGGGGAACGGAGAAGCGAAAGATTAAGGAACACATTACATTGCGAATTGTAGGCAGACATCAAAATAATGGGAAAGCAACTGGAAAGGATTGCCCAGGACAGGAGAATGTTGGTGAGCGACCTACAGTGTTCCACGAGGGGTAACAGGCGTAAGTACTTACTTACTTATTTACGCCTATTACTCCTCGTGAAGGAGCATAGGCCGCTCACCAGCATTCTCCATCCAACCCTGTCCTGGGCAATCCTTTCTAGCTCCGTCCAGTTGTAACTCATCGTTTTCATATCTGCTTCTATTATCCGACGCAATATGTTTTTGGCCTTCCTCTTTTTCGCTTCCCTTCAGGATTCCAAGTTAGGGCTTGCCTCGTGATGCAGTTTGACGATTTGCGTAATGTATGTCCTATCCATTTCCATCGTCTTTTCCTAATTTCCTCTTCAGCTGGAAGTTGGTTTGTTCTCTCCCACAGAAGGCTATTGCTGATGGTATCCGGCCAATGGATGTTGAGTATCTTGCGTAGACAGCTATTTATAAATACTTGTACTTTCTTGATTGTGGTTGTTGTAGTTCTCCAAGTTTCAGCTCCATACAGTAGAATTGCCTTGACGTTCGTATTGAAGATTCTCACTTTGATATTGGTTGAAAGTTGTTTTGAGTTCCATATGTTCTTCAATTGTAGGAATGCGACCCTTGCTTTGCCGATCCTCGCCTTTACGTCTGCATCTGAGCCTCCTTGTTCATCGATGAGGCTGATGCAGAGACTGCTGCCACACTGACTGTCTTCATCTGCATCTGTTCGTGTGTACGTGATAGGAGGGCTAGGTCATCTGCGAAGTCCAAATCGTCTAATTGGTTCTGAGCTGTCCATTGTATTCCGTGTTTTCCTTCAGATGTTGAGGTCTTCATAATCCAGTCGACCACCAGAAGAAAGAGGAAGGGAGAGAGTAAACAGCCTTGTCTGACTCCGGTCCTTACTTGAAATCCATCTGTCAGCTGTCCTCCATGCACTACTTTGCACTGTAGTCCGTCGTATGAGTTCTGGATAACATTGACAATCTTCTCAGGAACTCCGTAGTGTCGAAGAAGTCCTCCTATCTACACTGTCGAATGCCTTTTCATAATCAATGAAGTTGATGTATAGTGATGAGTTCCACTCAACTGATTGTTCGACGATGATCCGTAGTGTTGCAATTTGGTCTGTGCACGACCGATCCTTACGGAATCCAGCTTGTTGATCTCGAAGTTGGGCGTCTACTGCATCTTTCATCCGGTTCAGCAACAATCTGTTGAAGACTTTCCCTGGTATTGACAGTAGTGTTATGCCTCTGTAGTTTTCACATTTGCTCAGATCTCCTTTCTTTGGAATCTTGACGAGGTATCCTTTTTTCCAGTCCATTGGCACTTGTTCCTCCTCCCAAATTTTTTTGAATAGAAGGTAAAGTATGTTTGTTGTTACTTCGATGTCTGACTTCAGTGCCTCAGCTGGTATGTTGTCGGGTCCTGCTGCTTTCCCGTTCTTGATTTGTCTGACGGCCATTCTAATTTCTTCCGTAGTTGGTGGATTGACATCTATAGGAAGATCTATGTGTGCTGCTTCGATGTCCGGTGGATTCATTGGAGCCGGCCTATTCAGGAGTTCCTCGAAGTATTCTACCCATCTGTTCGGCTGTTTTTGAATTTCAGTGATTGGATTGCCTTCTTTGTCTTTGATCGGCCTCTCTGGTTTACTGTATTTCCCTGATAGTTTCTTCGTTGTATCGTAAAGCTGTTTCATGTTTCCTTCTCTAGCAGCTTTTTCTGCCGTCGTTGCTAGTTCTTCAACGTATTTCTTCTTGTCGGCTCTAATGCTCCTCTTCACTTGTTTGTTTGCTTCTATGTATTCAGCTTGTGCTTGGACTTTCTCTGCTCGTGTTCGGCTGTTGTTTATTGCTGCCTTCTTGTTCTTCCTTTCTTTGATCTTGTCCACTGTTTCTGTAGAGATCCATTCCTTATGATGGTATTTCTTTAGACCGAGAACCTCTTGACACGTTGAAGTTAATGCTTCCTTGATGCCTTTCCAGTTGTCCTCCATAGTAGTTTCTTCTTCTTTCAGTAGATCTCGTAAGGCTTGGAACCTGTTGTTGAGAGCTATCTTGAATTCATTGAGTTTGACAGTATCTCGAAGGAAGGCTGTATTGAACCTTTGTATTGCTGTTTGTCCACTTGTCCAGTTCTTTTTTAGCTTCAGTTTCAAATTGGCTACAACTAGGTGGTGATCTGAAGCTACGTCAGCACCTCTCCTGGTTCTCACATCTTCCATTGTCCTTCGGAATTTTTTGTTGATGCAAATATGATCTATTTGGTTCTCTGTAGTGTGGTCCGGTGAGATCCATGTAGCCTTGTGTATACGCTTGTGTGGAAATATTGTGCCTCCTATGACCAATTTGTTGGATGCACATAGATTTGCAAATCTTTCTCCATTTTCGTTTCTTTCTCCCAGTCCATGTCGTCCCATAATATCTTCATATCCAGTGTTGTCTATTCCGACTTTGGCATTTAGATCTCCCATCAGAATAGTTAGGTCCTTCCTTGGGCATTTCTCAATGATTGACTGCAGCCGCTCGTAGAACTGATCTTTAATTTCGTCGTTGCTATCATTGGTGGGTGCATAACATTGGATAATATTCATTGTGATCCCCTCCTTCTTTGTTTTGAATGATGCTTTGATGATTCTGGATCCGTGAGATTCCCATCGTACAAGTGCATTTCGTGCTACTTTGGACAGCATAAGAGCGACTCCCTGAGTGTGTGGAGCATTGTCCTCTTCGTGACCGGAGTATAGCAGCATCTTTCCCGTAGCTAGCCTTTTCTGTCCAGCTTGTGTCCAGTGGGTTTTGCTGATTCCCAGTACTGCTAAGTTGCATCTCCTCATTTCCATTGATATTTGACTGGTCTTCCCGGTTTCCCACATTGTTCGAACGTTCCATGTACCTATAAAAATTTTTGCTCTGGTTGTTAGAAGGGGCATCGGCCTCTTGGCTTCCGAAGGAACTCGGCTTTCACCATGAAGCGTCATAATTCTTCTAAATGAAGACCTTCTAACTCTCAGGGCAGAGTTAAAATGGTTTGGATTATTTTTTCTGGTAAGCGTTTTTTAGCGAGTTAGTTTTCTACGGGATGGGGACGCTAACCCCATGCCCAACCCTCCTCCTTTACCCGGGCTTGGGACCGGCAGTAACCCTATAAGAGCTACAGGCGTAAGTAAGCAAGTAAATATGTTCTTTGACCTTTTTTCAGTAACTGCCGAACATTTAGACACTGTGTAAAAATGGTTGGTGATTCCTTCTCACGTTTTATCTATCAACTTGACTGTTGTCTCATAATATTCTACCTCTGTTTACGATTTATTATCATGTTTGTTTATGTCTGTGGTTTTATGGATGTTTTCTGAATACCACATTTAAATGATTAGCAGCAGTATAATCCAAATCTGTTGTATCAATACATCTTAAAGATATTCCATTGATCAGTGTATAGTTCTGCTTTGACGTCGGATGAAACGTACCTCGGTAATAAGAATACAGATGGGAATACAGACTAGAAGAGATTGTGAATAGATTTACATATTAAATAAATGAATTAAATCTTACATAGCTTCTATCATTTTAAACAATCACCAAACTGTCAAATAGATATTCATTGAACCTGTTCAAATAAAAAAAACCTATGATAAGATCAAATTGGTTAAAGCTGATCTTCCAGATCATTCAACTTATCAGAGGTTAACTAGATAATCATGGCATTAAGATTAAATCAACACATCGATTGAATAAATGATGTCACTTTATTTGAAATCATGTAATTCTATTAAATGCCAAATGTACGATTTTATTTTTGTCACCTTTTATATATGAAGCTCATGAGAATCACCTGTCACGTGATGATAGCGTATATGCACGTACTAGAGCCTATAATACAAGAGGTTATTTATTGACTATTATATATCAGTAATCTCTACTGATTTACATAAATTGTAATGGACCTTTGAAAAAAACTACGTGATTTTTCAAACTCAATTTAATGTAAGATACTAATTCTTTAACATGATATAACATATATGGATACTATCCATATATGTATATATATATATATATATATATATATATATTTGTGATCATGTTAATAATGCTTAAATATAGATAAAATCCTTAAAATATGAATGAATTTAATGGTGATGATCAAGATGTAAATTGATCGGATTAGTTGATTGACAATTACTTTAAATTAAAACAAAGCAAATTCAATATTGATATATATTTGAAAAGAAGAAGACGACGACGAGGAAGAAGAAGAAATCTATTTAATTATATAAAAATGCCATCGAAATTAATCTATGAAATCGTTGAAAATGATAACAATATAGAAGCTCAATTAAATTGTTCTGATGAAATTACTGAAGTATTGAACTCATCAGAATGTATACAAAAAGATATATTAACTAAAACTTTACATAATAATGGAAATAATAAAAACCAAATAAAGCATAAAACAAATCAATCATTAAAGAATGAGGAAGGAATTAGAAGCTTTTTTATATCTAATCAATTATGGATTGTTACTTTGTTAATTCTAATTATCGTAATTGTTATTGCATTATTATCTGTCTGGTTTGGAATTGTAAATTGTAAGTCCAAATTATCTGGTGTAGATATTGTTAAAGTACCCGGTGGTAGTCAAGGCAAGTTTGAAAAAAAATTTCTATGAGATATAAAGACTTTTTCAGTTACTGAGTAATTCATTACATTGATGTTCTTTCTGTAGTTATACGACAAATTGATCTGACATGCTAAAATTTCAATGTTTGAATTTTAGCCATAAATAACTTTTAAAATAAATAGTATTTTAAAATTTCGACATAAGTACTGAACATGTTAGGCTTAATGGATACTTATAACTAACGATTCCAGGACAAACATGGTAACCATTCCAGATACAACCAAGTAGATAGTCAACATAGTAGTTTCATGTTTATTTTTCTCTGGTTAACTTTAAATGTATTATCCTTTCTAGCTAAATGAACAAAAGAAATAATTAGAACACCTTATAAGAGTAAAATGGACTAAATTTACATTTCACTTATTTTCTGTTGTTAACGGGGATTGTGACATAATACTGGTTAATATAAAATGAATGCTTAATTTTATCAATAAATTCATCTTCTGAAATTACTTTTATTCATTTCTTAAAGAAAAAAATGTTATTTTTTTAAATACGGCGTCAGTAAATGACCTGGACAAAAGAGATAATGGTTTAGTAAAACATTACAAATTGTAAGATGTAATAATTAATAAAATAAGAATACTAACGAAAGAAGATCAAATATGATTACAATGATGATACATTTTGTTTTACTTAGAAATAAATTTCTAGTGTAAGCAATGATGGATAGTCGCTAGCAGTGGAATCCAGGGCGCGCGTTTCGTCCTATTTGGGACTCGTCAGCTGGATGCACCTGAATCTCAGGGTTGATGTTCACTCTGGGACTCGAACCCAGTGCCATTCACAAGAAAGTTGCATACGCACAGTTTGCACATATGCCAATAACAGACTTATCAATCGCAGTCTTAAAAACTCAATGGGAAGATACAAACCAAACAATACAAAGTGAATTTAAATTTCTAGTTCTTTAAAAGGACATAGCAATTAATTATACTTGGTTTGGTGTCGACTTCTAATCTGAGTTATGTTTAAGAATGTCTTAGACTCATGGGTTGCTTGATCACTCTAAACAAATACATTTCGAAATACTCAACTACAGCAGGATTGTAGACATTATAACCTACTGAAACTTAATCTATAATTTTAAGGTCATTAACATTAGATGAATGATCAATAGTTCTAAGTTTTAATGAAGTCATAAAATATATCAAGAAATTTTCCCAGTACAACTTAATAAAAATGTTTAAATTCAGTTATCGTGATAGGCCTATGGGAATGGATTTCAATAGAATGAGGTTCGGGCTTATCAGTTGGGAGTTGAGTGTATAGAGTTTTAAGTCTTCAATCTACACATACTTTTCTATATTGATCATAAATTTGAGTTTAACCATTTCGAAATACGTTTTTACACATAAATCATAATGTTGCATTAAAGTGTTTGGAAATATGAATATTTTATAAGTAGTCACATTTGAACCTGGTTGTAGTTGACTGATAAGAAAGTTTTGATTAAGAATCTAAATGTTGTTCATCGGTTTTTGTTTTTGGTTCCCATTGATTCCAAATGTGTTTTTATTTGGATGTAGATTTTTACTTTGAATTAAATAAGAATTCTAAAGAAAAAAATCACCTTGATTATTCAGAAGTTGTTTTTTCTTCAGTTAAAACAGTGGTAGCTAAACGGAAAGTTGATAGAAAGGAAAGAATATTCTTTTCAATAATTTCTTATCAGGTTCTACAATTATCATGTCCAAATTAATAATCCATAAAATCGGCCAATTTTAAGGTAGAGAACATCATTTAAGATTGTAACATGTGAATTAAGGATTGTTTGTCATTAGAAATCAAGTCAAATCGTTAATGTTGGAGCTGACTAATATGAAGTTGTTAACTTGAATCAGTTTATAAGTGAAATGAAATCGTACGATGAATAATGATCAGAATAAATATGGTCAACATGGGGTAGGAGAGAGTAATGTAGTTACAAATCAGGAATTGCGTAATATGTAGGATAATATGAATTAGCCAAGAATTAGCAGGTGGGGGTGGATACTGAATAAATCTCTCAAAAAGGTTAGCTAGTGTAGTAATAATAATGATGATAATGTACTCTGCTTTAAACTTGACCAAATTTATGGAATATTAATTTGGATATAATAATTATAGAACCTCATGAGAAATTATTGGAAAGAATATTCTTTGTTCATATAATTGTGTTTTAATATAATGGGAATTTCTAAGAGAGAAAGCGAAGGTCGATTGAAATTTCAATTCCTAACGTTACAAAAATGTGTGAATTTATTTATTTGTTATACTCATAGTAGTTTTGTGATATTACTTAAGTTCACATTGTTCTTTAAATGTTATACATATTTTCAGCGTTTTTATTGTTGTTGACAAGACAACTTATCTTTCGGTTACAGAATGTAGAAAACATGTACAACAATGTATTCATTGTTGATAATGAGACCATTACTTTTTTTACGAAGTTGACATGTACAAGAGGTTTCTGAATGATTCTAAAATCGCTGGTAAAATGCTTGATGCAGCAGATCAATTCAGACACAATGACTTTTAATGATGGATTTAAAAAAATTAAAAGTTCACTTGAGGATTTGCTATTTCCATCACCTTGACAACATGGGACTAATTCATGTAATTTTTTTGAACATTTGATAATAAGGGTTGAATTTATATCTGCTTTAAATATTTTATATCAGATATTCATCAATAGTTATGTATTGTAGACAATTGACTAAAATGAACAAGTAAGAATAGTAGCGATATACTTAGTATTCGATTGATGTTAGACCACTATTGAATAACTGAAAGTACTGGTCAGCCGTTTCGTCCTAGTATGGGACTCCTTATAAATGAGCATTCACGATCTCGCAGGTGGGATTTGAACACAGGACTTTCGATTTCAATCAATTCATGATCTCAACCAAAAACTTAACAATCTTCACAACCCATACTGATATGTTTGGTAGTCAAATATTTTTTGTTTTACAAAATGCTGAAATATGTACCTATTTGAATGATTATGAATTTTTGGATGAGTTGTTCTCATTGTTTAAACAAACTGTTCTTGAACATTGTATAAAATTTAAATTCGGTTTACGCTTAATTTCACTCTAAGTACATTGAAATCAATATACAAGAAACATGGGCGAAGTTTTTTTATTCTAATTTGTAAACATCACATTTTGGAATAAATACCTAATAACTTGAAATGTTAAAGTGATCGAATTGATAGTGTTTTACATGTTATGTTTTACAGACTAAATTTACTATAAAAGATAGTTAAATGCAATATATGCTATAGTGTACAGTATTAGATTTTTATACAGTACTAAGTCTTACATTATAGAGACTTTTAAGTGTAAAATTAAACCGATTGTTAATAGTGATTAGATGTTTGAATTTTGGTTCAAGTGAACATTGAACAATGACATAATGAATGTACAACGCTAATAGTTGAAAATAGTTACCTTAAGACTACAGATTTTGATATTATCAAACACCCACACACGTTTAAATTTGATAGCGAAGAAGCAACCAGTTTACTGGTATTTATTTGTATATTTAAATTTAAGGCTACTTTAGACTACAAAATTACATAATTTACAAGGCGATTGAAATATAGTATGGTTTGGATAACTGTTTCCTGGGTGCTTAAAAGTTACGTTCATCACTAACTGGTGTAATTAAGCAATCTGATGAAAATTCCTTGACAGTAGTATGATATTTATAACTTATTATCACTTTACTAGTGACAAAAGAGCACTTAAATCGTCCCGAATGTTATGGCTATGGTCCTAAGGAATGGTTTAAATGATTGAATGTTTTTTATTCATAACTATATAATTTATTTTGTTATGCTTTATTATTGCATTAAAGTGATATCTTCCACGACAAATGAGACGATCAATAAAATATGTTTGGAACCAATTGAATCAGGTCCATGCAGAGCTTCCATCGAGATGTTTGCTTTTAATGTAGACCAATGGAGATGTATCAAATTCATTTATGGTGGTTGTCACGGGAATTCCAACCAGTTCGCTAGCATAGAAGAGTGTGAAGCTGTATGCCATTAAGTGAATTATAATTTCAATAAATATGTTTCAAGTTATGTAATTCACTGTTTGATTTTTTTTGGATTTCTTTCATGATACACCGATTATTTCGATTTATAAAGTTTATTTATAATCCGTGCGGATTTTTGTAAAGAAAAATTATCTAAAGATTAAAAAATATATTATCCAACAGGAAGGCCGCCTGCTTGAATATCTGGACTACCTGTTCCTGCCATCTAGATATTTCAACAAGTTATCTTATTTTTTTGTTTTATTACATGATTATGGCGTAACCTATTCAGGTGCGTTTTTGAAAAGTGTACAACCTTTCGTTGTATAAATTACAAATGACCCAATCAGAGATATCGTGGTTGCTGGCAATATGTAGCGAAAAAAAGTACATTATTTAGATGTCGATTAACTGAACTGGTAAGTTCTAACTGGCGATCACTCAATATTTATCGTCAGGATCGACCAAGAAGTAAGGAACGGAAACTTGTGGAAATACTTTGTTCTGAGAATTCTATATTATACCAAATATATAATACTGAATAAAGCTGATAATAATAATGTCCACTCAAAAATTACTTGTTAAGTAAGATGTGATTACTTTTAATCGCTTGACTACACGTTGTAAATAATCTTCAAAAAGCGATTTCAGTAACATGAAATATTTATGTAACCTAATATTGTTATTGATTTTTATGAATTCGTATTCCTATTCACACTACAAAAAAGTTCCTCAAGTGACGTGTTTTCAGTTCATTTCATTGCAAAAAACACTTTTTACTGATCGATTTGTTAGTCTCAACCTAATAATTTTTTTTCTTACTTTCAAGGCTACTTTTAAAGAAATTCCGTCCAGTAACTAGATAATAGCCAAGTTTACATTTACTTAGTCGCTAATATGTCTCTTCATTTGGATTACATGAGGCTTGAACGAAAAGGCAGAGCTATCTCACAATGTTCAAAGAATCGAAAATAGGTCTGATTCGTCATTTGGCGAAGGTATTTCAGAATTATGATCACTGATTCAATAATCTTTATTAGATTATACTCACGAATTTAATCTTGTATTTCCGGATATAAAATAGAATTATTTATGATATTGTCTAAAAGTGTAAGAGCATAACTAATATTGACTGAGAACTTGTTTCTGTATATTGTAAATGGTTTGAGAATAAAGTAATGTGTAAGACTAAATCTACACACACATAAATCAGTATATACATATACACAAGTGAAAAGCACTTTAAGTGAACAGTAACTTCACGTAAGTCTTTTACTTTGAGATATCCAATGAACAAATATAATTTATTTTCATTATATTAGCATGGAGAAATTTCATTCAAATTTAAAGAAAAAGTAATTTGAGTGGGTTTACTTCTTTTTGTGTTTAGCAGTTACGATAATCATAGGTACTCGAAATCAATGAATTTTATGCTGTATCGGTTTAGGATTAATGTGTCCGAGGTCACAAAATTTTGTCTCAAATTTATCTGTTACACCGAAAGAGCAGGAAATCAACCATGTGTATAACCAAGTAATGGTTGAGAAATAGTTTGTTTTGTAATATTGACTATTCTCATCAAAAATGAAACAACTATTGTTATATCTCATTCAAGTGCCAATTGTAAAAGTATTTAAGTAGTCGGAATTAAATCTAGAACAAAAGGTATTAATTAGTCAGTAAGAAGTTGTAAAGGTGACTGTTTTCGAGACAAATTTACCGGAGTTCTAGTGAGAAACCGTGACCAGTAGAGCTAATTCGTGTCAGGCATGAAGCAGTTACCCACTGAAGACGTGAAAGATGGTGACGCAAAGTCGTGGATTAATTAGTTAGACACTAACCTGAGAGCACTGCACGGCCGTTTCGTCCTATTGCGGGACTCCTCAGTAGTGTGCATCCACGACCCCATCCCCTACGAGATTCGAACCCAGGACCTCGCACGCGAGAGCTTAGCCACTAGACCACTGAGCCGGCATCCAATGGTGTTAATGCCTAACTTTAACTAATCCACGAAATTGAGCGACACATCCACCATTGTCTTCAATGAGTGATTGTCTCACAACAGACCTGGTTGAAATCCACTGGTCACTGCTTCTCATTAGAACTCCAGGATATACCTCTCGAAGTCAGTCACAAGTGAGCATATGTTGTCTAGCTTCAGGTGACTCATAATCTCAACCATTTAAATTATTAATAATATCCACAAAATCCCTTCTGATATTCACGAGATAATAACTTCAAACTATCAAACTAGTACTCAGTCAATTGACAAAACAATAAAAAAATGTTGTAATTTCAAATGAAATAGATAAACACCGAAATAGAGTGAGTATAAAAATTCTACATTGATCATGAAAATCCTTTCACATTAAATCTTTAATAAAAATTAAATTTATAATAGCTTATTATAGTTTTATTTCATTCATTCGTTTTACATAGAGAATAAAAAGTAATTTAACAAAGTAATCAGCATTTTTCATTTGTCTCTTATTATTAAAATGAAAAAAAACAAACAACAAAACAATAAAGTTAGACGATATAAGTTGAAAAACAAATCGACTAAGAATTTAATTGATCTGCTCAAAAACAAACAAACATGGAAGGTATGACTGTGGAAACGGACAAAAGATATTTTGTATGTTTGACATAAATTAGCTGAACAAAGTGGAACAAAGAGAAAAAAAACATGACAAAGATAAAACTACGCATGATAAACTGTAAATAGAAAGTAGAACAACCTTTAAAAAAAAGGTAGACAATGATTATACTAAGGAGAAGGAAGAGAGGAAGAAAGAGAGAGAGAGAAAGAGATTACACGAAGATCCCCACAGCCATCATATAATAAATGAGTAAAGTATATAATTTAGAAATTCATATAAAACATATCACAAATGTAAAAATTATTCTTCAGAAAAACCAACCACGTATAGTCCGCTTATATTCCATTCAATGATGTTTTATTCTGACTGATATTATTATTGGTAATATCATTCTCAATATTCATACTATTAATATTATTGTCATTAACAATACTACTGCAGTCTTTATTAGTAGTATTGTTGCTGACTCCTGGACGTAAATGTGATGGAGCAAGAAATTCACCATAAAGTCGTAAAAGATGATGTAAAGCTAATGCTATTTGATTACTTCCACCGGTCACCAGAATACAATCAACAATATGAGGATATAATTCAATTATACTAGACCAGATTGAATCATCAACTGTATATTTTGAGTATATTGGACAGGCATTGAATCATATATCAGGATAATAGTAACCAGAATGGGAAAATAAAGGAAAAAAACATTTCATAAATGTGGAAATAGTTTAAATAATTAAGGTGTAAAGTAAACTTGTTCATTTAAACTAATCATTAAGATGTATGTACAATACCTGACAGATTTCATTACTTTTAATACTCATAATATCGGTAAAAATGATTTCATTTGTAAATAGATTAAATTGACATTCTCTTCTGTGAATAGCTACTTTAAGTTACATAATTAATGCTATAATTAGCTTTCCATTAGATAAGAACAAGATAGAAATCAAAGTCTCTAATCATCTGTAAACGACGTTAATTACAAAGAATGAATGTGCTTTAAAGTATAATTTATGACATAAATAATGAGTTGTTTGAGTTATGAAATGAAAATGATAATATTACGTAATCCGGCGGAATATTTAATAACTGAAGTGGCATTAATAATATTTTGTAATTGGCTATTGCAAATCTGTTGATTAGAATCAATAGAGACTCCTAATTATATCAAAAGTCATATTTCCTGCTACTTACAAAAAGAGCTATGGAAGAGATCATTGTATCAATCGTATTGATGATGATATACAATTACACAGAGATTGTCAATTTACTTCGTATTATTGAATTTACTAGAGAACTCAAATGTGCGGCTTTTAGTGGCAGTCACAAGCTCATTTTAGAAAATCTTTGTGATGTGTCATTATGTGAGTGAAAACTGAGGAAAGAAGAGTAATAAAACGCAGTACTCGATTCGAATATTTGATTGTGTATTTATGGCGGTGACTGTATTTAATAGGCGAATCGATGAAGTATCTAAAATCTCAATTCTAAAATCAATCTTAACATGGTGGCATTATACTTTGCGGATAAATTAACCAGAAAGCGCCTTTTAGATTTTTGTGGAAAATCCATTTATCCATATAGACACAGAGCACTTTCACATTACGGCAGTGCGAAGAATAAGCGAATTCATTGATTTATTAAAGTATTAACCTAAAAACGACTAAATATTTTCCAATTGTCCTGATTATATAAAGGTGCTTATAAAAGTAACAGAGTTAAGAAATGAAGGTTACTGAAGTAATTACTGTGAAAGTAAACACAACTAGACGTTAATGAAACAACCTTAAAGGTACATCTAAAGTGATATCAACTTAAAACTACATACCCAATGAACAATCCCATCCACGTGTCACATTTTCAAATGTTTTTTTATATGTATCGGCCTTGAAGTCTGTCAGTGATAAATACAATTTTTCAAACCAAATTTACATATAAAGGAAAGCTTAATGGATTTGCCTATACAGCTTGTTTACAGAGTTTTTAGTGTATAACGTTAAAAAGAGTAAGAAATAACCCAAAAACATCAATTTTATACTTACCGTCATGTTGTATTGGAACAGACTGAAGTGATGTTAACATAACTGTCAACGCTTTGAATACGTAGCTAATTTCTGACAAACGAGCACTGCGTATGAAGAGAGAGAAAACAGTTAACTTTGGTGTGAACTTATATAATATGATTGGAGAGCGTTAGGAAAAAAGTTATATATTAAATCCACCATTTAAGTGAAGAGACAACAAAAATTTTATAAATCTCTTCTAGGTATGCTTACCGTTATGTTTCCTGGTATTTATTCTTTTTCCAGCTATAGGAGCAATAAATTTCCCAGTATTCTAATTTCTCTGAGAAAATGGAATTCCGTTATTTAAGAGAAACTAGAACAAACTAATTTAAATATTCGATTATATTTCATCATGATCTTATTGTGTGAAGAACTACCGAAGTTCAACAACAATAGGTTACCATTTCACAC